TACATGATTTTAAACGCAAACTGTGTCGCAGCAGTTTTGAATGAGATCATACATTAATACAGTTTTACACGGCATCCTTGAAAAGCAGCTTTTATTTGTAAATAGCTAGGTAGTTAAAATTTTATGAATATATTGTTAATCAGAGTTAGTTTAGTTAGGTATAATAGTTCTTAGATTTTTTGTACATGCTGAAGGAATTTTAACCGTGTTTAAATAAAGTTATCTATCTATCTATCTATCTAGTTGGGCATTCGTTTGTTTGATTTAGTTTCAAGTTAATGAGAAACATTTGTGTTGTTTTTTTTCTTTCTTTGAGACGGAGGGTGTTTCAATATGCGTGATTTTATAATCATTAACTAGGGATCAAATGTCGCTATATGTAGATGCTATTCTTGGCTTCCACTCACGTGACTTCCGGTAAAACTTGCGATTTCCGTCCGCCATGTTGGTGTTCCAAATACCAATATGGCGGACGGGTGCTAGTCACCAACAAGTATACTAAGTTGCGATTTTTTCCAGTTTCGCCTCCTCAAAATCCCAATGTGCCTGATTGTGGGGTATTCTAGAAAAAGCGGTGGAGCTAGGGGAATCCGCTTGCATCGAGTTTCAGCAGTTGTGACGAATCAGGGCCCAGAAGTTGAAAAACTAAACATTAAGCAAAGACGATGAAGGATCTCAGCAATAAGCCGCGATGATCTCACAGAAAAGGTCGAAGGAAAGGCGAAAACGACAGATAGAATTGCAACAACAGGAACGTTTACTGAAGCTACAGAAATTAAAGGAACCTGGAGTCCCCATTGCCGACTTTGCTTCTGAGATTGTTGAGATTGAAAGCTTGAATACTTCAGAGGCAGAGCAACTTCAAGAGGAGACTGTAGACTTGCAACCAGACGAGCAAGTAACACATGACTGCTATACACAAACAGAGGCTTTTGATCATTTATATCAGTCTGTGGCGTCTCCCTCTGTTAAGGACGGTCCACGCACTGATGCCTCTACTCAAACAGAAAAGTTTCACTACTTGTTTACCCATTCATCGACGAGCAAGCCTTTCAAGCAGAATTATTTTAGGGATGATAACGCGAAAGTGTCATTCTACACAGGCCTGCCAACATACGAAGTGCTAGAAGCCACTTTTATTTTAAAAAACACAGCACTAATGAAGACAAGTTTTAAGAGTGAGATTTGTTTTTTAACACTTTCACCACTGATCACGTTGCCTTTTTCACACCTTTGCAATTTTCTAAATTATTGCGCAAGTTTTAGATCAGTCTCGCTGAGTCTCGTGTCAGGATGCACTGAGTAGAACTTTGATTATGGAGTTTAAAGTGCCTCTTATCAAACCAAGAACTGTTGATTGCTCTGGACTACCGGTTTACGACTTTTCAAAATTGCTTAACACAGAGGAGATAGGAAAAGGTGCATATGGAGCAGTTCTCACAGCAGACTACCCTTTTAATGGTATCGACGACAAGGGTCAAGAGTTTCGAGTTTTGGGTGCTTCGTTTTCGAGTTGTAGTGTATTAAGCCATCGGTTGACATTGTGAATGTGCACTTATGTGCACGTTTGTACCATGTGCTTTGATGCGTAATAAGCCAAATACGTGACCGACGTCAACACTGCAGTTTCTTCATTTCAATTTAAAATACCCCAAGTACCTTCCAGATATTATTTCTATATTTAGTTTCATTGTATCCATGTATACTATAAGTATTCGTGTAAAATTTAAATGCAGATTTTTGTAGTCATATAGATACTTTAGCCCTTCTTCTTTTTAAATTTCGGGGTCTACCCGGGTCTATCCCTGATGGTTTTTCCGTTACAAGGCTTTGTAAGTGACCAGGTATGAAGAGATCGGCTGAGCCAAGTGGCACAACTCCCAGAAACAGGCTGCGAAAACAGGCTGAAGGAGAAGCCTATGTGACGGAAGTAATGTCAAATCTAGGAAAAATCTGTTCAATTTTAACCAAGAAAAGGTAAAGAAGTTTTGATATTCGTGATAGCTTTTAGAATAAGTATAATATGTTTTCGTTTTATATTTGTATTTTTGAAGGTCTTATAATTCGCATGCAAGAAGTGATTTCTATGCAAATCTTCATATGGGTGTCAGAAAATAGCAGCTAGGAAGAAGCTATTTGAAGCACAGGACTGTCTTTATTTTTCGTTTATATACCTTTTTTTTGGTTTGGAACCCTCCATTTTTTCTCAGGATGGTCGTCTACCTCAACCTGCTGCATGGTCAGAAGCAGAGAAACGTGTACTAGTTGAGTATGTGGCTTTATTTTCACCCACTGCAGACGAGTGTTCCACTGAAATGGCCTTCCTGCAAAGATCCTTTATTCTGGTCCAAGTGTGCTGAAGCTGTGGCCTGCACAACTGGATTGCCTAGGAGAATGGGTACGCTTTTTACCCTTTTTTAGTCCAGAAGCGATGTATAGAACTCTGTTTAAATTTAGTGCTTGCAACAGACAACAGTAAGTCCCAATTAACTTCAACTTAGAAATATACATCTCGTGTTTAGTTTCCATGTCAGAAGTGAATAACGATTTTTTCTAGAGATATTAAAACCATCTCCGTTTGCATTGAATTTCTTTATGACCTTGTGGTAAATCTCTGACAGAGCACAAGATTTCCTATTGGCCATTGTTATTTGCTCATTCACTGAGCCAGATGTCAATTTTTTTTTTCAGGGAATGCCTGTAGACATCAGGTAAACTCTTATCTTCAAAAATACAAGACACTGGAAGAGGCAGAAGAGGCAGAAGAGGACCTCCAAATTAACTGTTTTAGGGGTGGAATCCAAGAGTGCTCATCTGAGGAGGCTTCCAGTCCGGTTGTCTCTTCGACTCCACAGTCCTTGCAGGATAAAAACACCTCATTCTCACCAGTATTGGCATTTTCCCCACATAGCACAAATAGTTCCGGAGATGCTGGGGTACAGGTATCACTGGGAGACTCGATTGCCACAGTGGTAAAACTGCTTGCAATGATGAGTTCACGTATGAGTCAGGGCTTATTGCAAAGTCTCTTTTATCAGTACATGTTTATGTAATTCAATAAAGATTTGCCGCCAAATGTTGCATCTGACTTCATAGTACTTTGTTGCAAAGGTATCAGTGTTATTCACCAAAATGAGAAAGATAATATCATTTATTACTTGGTCAAAGGTCTTGGGACCCCAAGAGAAGATTGTACTGGTCCGAGTCTACCAATTGATAGAATGCCATTTGGACTACTTAGTTATAACATTCGCTATTTTGCTTTAGACAAAATAAACAACATTACGTCAGATCCACACTATGTGCAGTGGGAGACTACAATGTTTTCCAATTTTGCGCACAAGTGGATTTATTTACAGAGGGTAACTGGATTTGCGTATGACAAGGGAGGGACAAGGTCTTACCATATCTCAGTCGACATCTTTGCCAGTTTGTGAGCCTGACAGTTCATCAAGCAGTCCAGGAATTTTACAACAGGCATGGCACGAAACATTTCCACAGAGAACACAAACTGGGGATGAGATTACCAGTGAAGTGCATGCTGAAAGTCCAGCTAGTGCAGCAGATGCAACAAACATTGAGTGTGTTCCTGAGGCAAGAACGGAGGGTTTGGTTTAAAATCTTGTCAATGTGATAGGAGACCTTGTGACTGAAAGTCCTGTTGAATCAGCTGGCTTGGCTCAGGTGGGTAATCAGGTTGGAGATGTATTGGAGGTGGAAGAAACTGTGGTGAGGAGTGATGTGTCTGAGTTGTTAGATCAGGTGAATGTGTAAGATAGCAGCTATGATCACTCAGTAAGCTATCTTTGGGCACGACTCAATACAGAGGAGAGGGAAGAAGTTGTGAATGGAGAAAATCCAGCAGACCTTGCCCAGTTCCATGGAATGGTTGTGGTTGGTGAGCTTACATATTAGTTGGGTTCACATTAGACCACTAAGTCTGACTTAGTAATCTCTTAAGTCGACTTAGTGAAAATGACAGGCATGAACCGCTAAGTCACAGAAGCGTAATTTGTCTCAGTGTCGGCAAACTCAAACGACCTAAGCAGTTCTTAAGTCTGTTTCAAACATGACTTAAGGCTGACTTAAGAAACCTGATAGCAAAAAAATTTCAAAATCGTGGGTTTTATCAGATAGAGATTCCCGCGTTTGGCGCCAAAAGCAAAGAAATCATGACAGTTTCTTCTCACGAACAAAATTAACTGAAGATGCATCACCGAGAGGACGAAACATTAGAAGACAATTACGCTACCGACTTTTCACCTTATGCAACGTAAGTTGCGTGGCTTGATCACTTTTTTATTGGCCTATGTAAGTGTCATTTTCTTTTCTTATCATATTCCTCGCCGATTTCCCAACAGATCTGAAGCACGAATGCCTCATGTTTTTAATGCAGCTTCACCGCCTCAGTTTAGTCGGTCTCCTTCTCCATTTATGCCACCATTTGGAGCTTACTATCCCACCATGATGCCTCCCATACCAGTGCCTCCAGGTCCTTCAGAGCTGAGCAGCGACCCAAGTCCAAACTCAGAAGAGTCTAAGCGCACAAGGGCCGACTGGAACACAGATGAAACTAGCGTATTGCTGGACATTTGGGGTCCCCTTGGCGATTCCCTGAAATCTGCTTCGACTGCTCAAAAAAAAAAGGCTGTGGAGTCAAATTTTAAAAAAATTTCAAGACAAGTGCTTCGATCTGGGGGTGTCATCAAACAAAAAACCTGGATCAACTCAAGAAAACAATAAAGAACCTGGAATATGAATACCGTCAGGTGAGAACGAGAATGGCTTCCACTGGAGAAGAGGGCGCTAAGAAGCTTCAAAGTAACTGCGCATTCTACGAGGAACTAGATGATATTCCACGGACACGGGACGCTATTAACCCTGATTGCATGACCATAAGTTCTTCAAAGGTCATTCCAAAGAAGAAGTCTCCCTCAGCAGGACCAGTCTCGAAAGAGGGAGAAAACTCATCATCATCCGTGAGTTCTGATTCTCAGCAGCTTAGCACAAGTTCAGCCTCAGATGAATCACCACCGAAGTCGCAGCAAGTCCCACCAAAGACAAAAGGGAAAGCCCCCAAGCGCAAGAGAAAGGAGCAAAATGACCAAGATGAAGACCCCTACATGAACGGAATATGTGACATGTGGCGTATTTCCATGGAAAAGCAAGCCGAATGCTTCAACCGCAGCATGGAACTTCAGCAGGCTGCTATACAAAGCCAGACAGAGCAGACCAAGGCTCTTGTGTCAGGCCTAAAAGACGTTTTAAAAGACTGTTTCAAAAGTGACTAAAAAGATGTTGCCAATTAATTTGAACATTTACATGTTCTGTTGTTGTTAACTAGCTGGCTTCGCAGAAGCTTCATGAATAGTAGAGTAACAGACATTCAATCGTTTTGAGCAGTTTATTGATTGTAACACAGCTTTTGGGAAAAAGAAATGGAAAATTTAAAAAAATCAAACTCAATAAATGTGCGTTTTATAAAGAAAAACATTGTCACGCCATTGAATTACAGTGCGTCCTATGGTGCAATGAGGAAGGTGGCTGAATTAAAGTACACCCTGAGAAAGTAGATAATCTAGCATAGTTTGGCGTGTAGCTGATCCGTCTTGTGCTTCATCATCTTCGTCTGCGTCATTTTGATCATCCAGTGATGGGCGATCGTTGTCATCATCAAATGAATCCCCTTGCATCACACAAAAATTATGTAAAACACATGCTGCTGTCACGCTTCGCGGTACGGAAGTGTGACTCTGTTCAATCTTTTTTAGTAAAAGCCTCCAACGTTTTTTTAACAAGCCGAACGCCCTCTCGATCACTGATCTCATTGCACTTAATTTTTCATTAAAGCGTCTTTTCTGAGGCGATAGGCGCCCTGTGTTTGAAAAGGGCTTTATTAGCCAGTTTTTCAAAGGATAAGCACTGTCACCTACTAGCATTGGCTTCAACAGTCCCCCATTAACCATTCTTGTACGTGCTGATAAAATTTCTTCGTTTTCTGCAAGGTCAAAAATTCCCGTCAGTCGTAGCACTCTTGCATCGTGAATACTACCGCGATAGCCCACTGCTACATGTTGAAAACGCAGCCGCGAGTTCACTGTCCAGTGGAAAGTCTCCAAACACCAACAGCAACACGCTTCTCTACAGACACAGGCTTTCTCAATCTCGTTTCCTGTCTCGTCAGATCACCACGAGGAATTTGGCAAAGCTCGTCAAACGTTTCACGTTCCATTCGAAGTTTGGTTTCCAAAGAACATTCAGCCAAGGTGATGCTAGCATTACATCAAACCAGTTATGCGGTCTTGGCCAGGCCCACGCTCTTCTTCTTATGTGCCGAAAACTACCTCGTCTTTGGTGAACGCTCAAAAGTAGGGCGGTCAGAAAAAGCAGGCTTTCATCTCTTGAACAAAATCTTCCATCATTCTTTCACGAAGGAACATAAGGTTTTGTAAGGTTATTTGGCTGATCAACCTTTGTAAATTTAANCTTCATTTTGTACCAGAATAAATTAGTTTGCGCACAAAGGGCTTCTAAAAAATCACAAGGATTGTCCCACTTCGAGTAAGTCCATCCTCTGGAGATATGCCAGCTTGGTAGCTGGAATACACTGCCGAGGTGAAGATCTGGCATTCTTTCCTCCTCATCGTTTTTTCTCCACGACATTTGCTTATATTTGTAGTGAGAATGCAGTGCATACCAGTGGATTTTACTTCATGTGGCTTGTTATTTATAAAAGAAGAGTGCTGGATTTGATCGCTTTGTTTGCCTTTACCCTGCTGTCGAATGCAAGGTAAAAGAACCAACTACTGTAAGGTAAGAATTGAAATTTGTTTCCTGGCGAAAAATAGTGCATGGAACTCGTGAAACCCATGAGTATTACCTCTGTTATACCTAATGTCATGCAATTACTCCTCGCTTTTTTGATGGGTAACACGGATACAAACAAAAGTTTCTTTCGCAAAATTAAGTATAATTTAGTTATGAAGACCATTTGAGGACGATTTTTCATTATATGCTTCATTACTTGGCTTATTCCGGCTACGTGAAGGGAGTTAGATGACAATGTTTGTGTGCTATGTAATTATGCTGATAATTTCTTGCACAGCTTTGCACCTTTGTATTGAAGCTCATGAAAGCCAAACTTGTTTAACCCTAGCAAAAGACAATTCTATTATGGAGAAACTTTTAATGTCTTTTGGGGCAAAATATGGTGTAACATTTAGGGAAAACAAAGCTTAATTGGACTGTAGTTTTTTTTCTTTGAAGAGAGTGCAAGCCAAATGCCAGCATTAGGCCCCGTGAGTACAGTGTAACCCAGTGGTAGAACTAACAAACATAGGCTACACTTTAGGTGGCGCACCCATGAGTGTAGTGTAACCCAGTGATTCTTTAGGTCGAGCTAACAAACATAGGCTGTACTTTAGGTGGTGCTCCCATGACTACAGTGTAACCTAGTTATTCTGTAGTTAGAGCTAACAAACATAGGCTGCACTTCAGGTGGCGCCCTCATGAGTGCAGTGTAACCCAGTGATTCCTTAGGTAGAGCTAACAAACATAGGCACACTTAAGGTGGCACACCCAGAGTGTAGTGTAACCCAGTGATTCTTTAGGTAGATCTTACAAACATAGGCTGTACTTTAGGTGGCGCACCCATGAGTGCAGTGTAACCCAGTGATTCTTTAGGTAGAGCTAACAAACATAGGCTGCACTTTAGGTGGCGCACCCATGAGTGCAGTGTAACCCAGTGATTCTTTAGGTAGAGCTAACAAACCTAGGATACACTTTAGGTGGCGCACCCATAGGTGCAGTGTAACCCATTGATTCTTTAGGTAGCGCTAACAAACATAGGCTGCACTTTAGGTGCTGCACCCATGAGTGCAGTGTAACCCAGTGTTCTTAAGGCAGAGCTTACAAACATAGACTATCATAAGTGTACATCAGATAGCAATACGTTTTCCACAAAACTTTGTGATGCACTTCGACTACTTCTTTATCGCTAGATACATTATTTTAACACATTCTATTGACAGCCAGAGGAAGTCTATTGTCTAAAACCATTCACACATGATCCACCATGGATGACTCCGCTGGCCAAAGCTCTGCGAAAGAAAAAAACAGCCAAGGCTAAATGCCCAAGCCCAGATGGATGCCCAATTAATCTTACAGAAAGAACTAAAGTGACTGTTACAGAAAATCGTAAATCGCTTGCGAGTGGAAAGATGGGCTCTAAGGCCTGGTGGAAAAAGGTCGATGCGCTGTCGAAGAGAAAAGAAAGATCCAACCCACACTCTGACAAGGACTCTGTGAGAGAACGCAATCATTATTTTGCAAATTTATGTCACAATAAAGATTATATCAGACTCATACCCATAGACATCAAACATTCCTGCACCACAGCTCACACTGAGCCAGGTTTACTACGCTCTGCTCAAAACAAAGCAATCATCTACTGGCACAGATAATATTCCATTCTGGTTCTGGAAGGAGAACGCTGCCACATTGGCACCTGCAGTACAAGCAATCTGGAACCTATCCTTGTCAACTCAAAGGTGGCCCAGTGCATGAAAGCAAGCTAATATCTATCCGCTACCCAAAGTAGACATTCCAGTCCAGCCTCAGGACTTTAGGGGAATCTGCGTTACACCGGTAATTGCTAGGACTTTTAAGCGAGTAATGTATAACACCTTTGGTACAGAAGGTGTGGAGAGTTGCTTGAATAACAACCAGTTTGCATACAGAACAGGAGGCAGTTGTACAAACGCGCTTCTAATATACAGCATGAATTTCTCCAAGCTTTAGATAGCAATGATAACCGAGCAGTCCGGCTGTTTAAGATAGATTTTTAAAAAGCTTTTGACCGAGTCAAGTGCAACTTATTAATAGAGAAATTAATACAGAGCCCTTTAAACCCATACATTGTCAACTGGTACGTCAGCTTCTTGTTGGACAGAAAACAAAGAATGGTCTGTCATAACACTGTTTGTAATTGAAAGGATGTCAACCGCAGTACTACTCAGGGATATTTATTTGTTAAACCTGTTCTTAAACGATCTTGACGTCGCTCTGTACTGCCAGGATAGCGATCTTACTAAGTATGCAGACGACACTTCTCTTCTTGTGACTGTGCATAAGAATAGTGTAGATGAATCACAAAAGGNCAATCTGGAACCTATCCTTGTCAACTCAAAGGTGGCCCAGTGCATGAAAGCAAGCTAATATCTATCCGCTACCCAAAGTAGACATTCCAGTCCAGCCTCAGGACTTTAGGGGAATCTGCGTTACACCGGTAATTGCTAGGACTTTTGAGCGAGTAATGTATAACACCTTTGGTACAGAAGGTGTGGAGAGTTACTTGAATAACAACCAGTTTGCATACAGAACAGGAGGCAGTTGTACAAACGCGCTTCTAATATACAGCATGAATTTCTCCAAGCTTTAGATAGCAATGATAACCGAGCAGTCCGGCTGTTTAAGATAGATTTTTAAAAAGCTTTTGACCGAGTCAAGTGCAACTTATTAATAGAGAAATTAACACAGAGCCCTTTAAACCCATACATTGTCAACTGGTACGTCAGCTTCTTGTTGGACAGAAAACAAAGAATGGTCTGCCATAACACTGTTTGTAATTGAAAGGATGTCAACCGCGGTACTACTCAGGGATATTTATTTGTTAAACCTGTTCTTAAACGATCTTGACGTCGTTCTGTACTGCCAGGATAGCGATCTTACTAAGTATGCAGACGACACTTCTCTTCTTGTGACTGTGCATAAGAATAGTGTAGATGAATCACAAAAGGCACTGAATGCATTTTTGGAGTGGACAGAGGTTAATGGTATGAGCTGTAAGACAAGCAAATGCAAAGAACTCTGTATGGCTAAAAAAGGTGTCACACCTGACTTTCCCCCACTATGTGGCATAGAACAGAGTGACAGTTTCACCCTATTGGGTGTCACATTACAGAACGACTGTAAGTTTTCATCTCATGTTAAGGGAAAGCTTCGGGAAGCAAACAAGGGTGTGTACATTTTAAGATCACGAAGAAAAGATGGATAAACGCAGGTATAGATTATCTCTTTTAAGGCTATTGTTCTGCCAAAGATCACATGTGCACTTCCAGTATATGGAGCCAGCCAAGTAGATTTAAACACCATATACCGTATTTATTCAAATAAGCGCACAGCCTCAAATTAGCGCCCACCTAGAACAAGCGCCCACCCCCTCCTCCTCCCAATCAAACTCAAATAAGCGCCCACCCCCACCCCACCCACTTGAGTGAATAAATTCTAATAAGAGACTTCTCAGAGGACGGAGTTTTCTTAAAAGTATTTTACAGAAATCTTGCTTTGTTACTTCTTCGCGTTTTGGTATTAGCATTTATTGTTTTGTTGCAAAATAAACATACTTCACTTGCTGAAAATGGTGAAAATTTAATAAGCGCCCAGCCTCGAATATGCGCCCACCTCGAATAAGCACCCACCCTCAAGGTTCAAAAATTTAATAAGCGCCCAGGGTGGTTAATCGAATAAATACGGTAATGTTTTCTAAAAAGTTACAATAAGCGACGTTACACTTCTGAGTTAATTAATCTCTATGACCTTTTAGAGAAGTGTGACTGCAGGTTGTTCACCAAAATTAAGAACAATGTTAACCATCCATTATATGGCCTTTTGCCGAGAGTCAAAGAGTCATCCACGAAGTTAAGATCATAAACAAGTCAATTACCACGGATTAATACAGAAAGTTTTAAGAATTGCTATTTTATAGAATAAGGTTTCAATACAACTTGGCAATTTCACAATACAGATATCCAGTGTTTCATCACGTTTTATATAATAATTGTAAATGAACTGTGCGATTTTCATGATTTGTATACTTTTACTCTCTGTAACGTCTTTTATGTATTTTAACGGGCGAAATAAAGACACTTCTTATCATTATTATTATTAAGTTATTTTTACAAAGAATAAACTAAAATAAAAACCAAACAATATCTTAATTTAAAGTAAATGAAATCATTTATGCCCTGAATTTGGGGGACCTTTACTAATGGGAAAATTACCATAAGAATTACAGCTGCAGCTTGTGTGCGTGATTTTCAAAGGTAATGCAGGATTGTTAACTTTCATTTGAAATATATAGATTTAGCCAGGGCTAAAAGCAGAACCTCTGTTTTTATACTTATGATAAAAGCAATCAAGTTTAAACTAATAACATGAACTCTATGCCAAATTATGTAGACCATAAACTGCTGCTCAAGAAACTTCAGGTATATGGCTTGAACACTAACTCCCTCAAATGGTTTCAAAGTTACCTCAGTGGAAGGTATCAAAAGGTATGTGTTGACGGTAAACTATCTGTACCGCTCAGTATTCACTCCGGTGTACCGCAGGGGAGTATTCTTGGTCCTGCTCTTTTTCTACTCTTCATAAATGATCTGCCTCTAGTACTGAAGAATAATATTGGCATTTATGCCGATGACTCGACCCTTTATGCATCTGCACCTACCTTAGCTGAAGTCGAGGAGAAAATCAGACCTGACATTGACGCAGTATCGATGTGGGCAAAGGAAAATAAAATGAAAATGCATCCAG